ATAATTCCTTATTTCCACAAAAGATGTAAAACCACCAAAACTAAAAAAAAAAAAAACATAAAAGAAAATAATTGAAAGGATAATTATAAACAACGGTAGCTGATAGTGAAGTACTTAAACAAAAGATTTTAGTTGAATTTGGTAACACCCGGGTGCCGGAGGTTACACTACCCGGCTAACATCTATAAACACACTGTAAAGACCACCACCCTTGTTGGCCATCTGTGTGGATGTAAACAAAAGATAAGGAAACTCTTTATGTTTTTTGCGTCCGACTTCGGTCGCTATATCTGCATGGGATTACTTGGGATTTGCTAGAAATGATTCATTAGAAATAGTCGCTACACCCGAACTTGGCGTTACATCCGAAGTCGTCGTCTCAACATGAATTTTGTACTAAAATATGCTTTAAATTCAAGGGACTTAAATTTAACGTCGCTGTAGCAAAATGGTCGCAGAGGTCAAAAAAAATGAAAGCCATTCTATTGTATTTTTTTTTAGAAAGGTTTTTTCCTTAACCACGTTGCTGAACTCACCGTGCGATTGTCTTTTTGATCCAGTTTACACCCTCCAAAACTCTCCACTAACATATTCCTTTAACAGAGTAAATAATCAAAATATACTACGTACTATTACTCGTTCTTAACTCATCCAAATCTAACAACATCGGAGCTAAATTTAGCCTTTAAAATTAACAAAAAAATTGGGTAATTAAATAATTCCGTTTTTATTAGTACCACTTAATAATGTTGGATGAAATTTTACAAAATTCTAGAAATTTTAAATGGTACCTACATCGATCCTTTTAAAATTGCATTGCATGCAATACTGGTGGGACTGATGGCGATTATATTATTCGACAGGTGGGACTTTACTCCTCTAGAGCTATCGATCAATTGGACAAACGGCGACTAGATCGAGAACGAGATTCAGTACGAATTTTATTTAATTACTGTTTTTTTCTTTTTGAGGGAAATAGAACTTCTATTTCGCGATAAACAAAATAAATAATAATTCTAATAAAAATTATAAATGAAAGTTAATAAGTGAATCCTTAAAAATTACTTTGTAGTTTCAAAGGTTCAAAAACACCACTGTACTAACAACACTCAACAAGTATTTTTGAACATTTCAACCATTTCAACTGGAATATTGGCTGTGGCTTCGACTACTTTAGTTTCAAAACTCAATAAAGTGAAAATTAATATATCTAAGTGTGCTGAATGAAAAACACTGCAATATAAAAAACTGTCAGAATCAGAGTTTAACACCAATTTTACTATAAAAACATGGCAGATAACGATGAAGATTCACGTGACGAAACAGTTATCACTTCGACGTTCACATTCACCAATAGATGGAAAAACGACTGGCAGTTCATTTACATTACGTGCTTCGCTACAATTGACTTGCACAATATTTTTTTATTTATGGAAATTCGTTCTGAAAGTACCAAGAATCCAAACGTAATAATGTACCTCGTAATATATCTTACAATTGGAATGGCTTTAATGTACCTTATCGAATTCACTACTCAGTACACAGGCCTAACCCTTTTACAGTTTAGAAACGTTTGTCCCCTCTTTCACGGTTTAGGCTACACAAGTCTCTTGAACGCATTTGGAATAACAATATGGAACTCATATGTACTATTGGATAGTATCCTTTACCTCATTAATTCGTTTCAAAAAACGATGGCATGGACACAATGCCCTGCGGAAATCCCGATCTGTTGGGATATCGCTATGCCATGTGATAATTGCCTAACTAATGAAAAAATGCTTTCATCTCGCTTCTATTATATAGAACGATATCTTAAAAATAGAACTGATCGAACCGATTCAGGTTCGTTCCCTACTCGTCGAATTACAGGACTACTAATTCTTTGGTTGGTGTTATTCTTTTTCTTAAAAGTAAAAATTACCAAGTTTTTAAAAATAATAACGTGGTGCACCATCATTGCACTAGTCCTATATCTACTAATGCTGCCCTTATTAACAACTTGGAGTAAAGGGTGGGATACGCTATTTTACCAGCAATCCTCAGACTTCTTGTCTTGGGAAAAATGGTCTATCGCTGGATTTCGAGTTGTATATATATTGGGTATAGCCAGACCATTCGTACCCATGTGCGGCACTTATTTACCGTCCACGTCCAAACCAGAAATATTAACCGTAGTTGTAGTGCTTATGCACATTATAGTCACCATACTAATGCATTTATTCGTTTATGTTCAACTAAATGCTTTATTTAAAATAACCAATTCAGACATTAAGAATTATGAAACTGTCCTGCTATGGTCATCCGACATACATTTAACATTCATACTACAGGGGATTTCATTGAACAGTAACCAACAATTATTGAGCATTATGTACTTAAGTGCAAATATACTACTGGTTTTTAAAAGTATACTGACTGAAATCACTGGCATAGTAGTAAATTTAAAAAATGCTTTTCCGAAATTAGGAACCTACGATTCGTACCTTTTCGCAATGCTAGTGTTGTTTTTACTCCTTTCTAGTATCACTTTATTACCTAGAACTAAGGAAAATATAGAAGACCTCAACTTTATGAAAGCATGTATTAGAGCATCAGAAGTCATTGTTGTTTCTTGTATGGTCCTAACACTGGCTTTTATTTACCCACTACAGAAATTTGCCGATGATGTTCACTACGCCACAGGATCACAACCGAACAATTTTTGGAAATGGACCTGGGGTGTTTTACCGTTTTTTATTTATTTCTTTCTATACCCCATGCATAACATTTTAAAAAACGCAGATCAAGAACGAATTGTCATTTTTTCCGTTCTTTTAACAATTTTGTTATCGCCCATTTTATTTTTTGCAATTTATGAAATATTTCGTCATATTAAAATGAAATACATTATCGGTGTCCTTGTGCCAAGGGAACGATGGGGTCCACGAGAACCTGACGAAAGACTACTTAGACGCCTTTATAATCCTCGTAATGAAACCAAAGCGAGAAGAAGACGCCAGACGTGCAAACACGACTGCCTTGTCTCTAATACGCATTTACAAGACATTATTGAAAATGAACAGTCATTTTGGAAAGAGCAAGGCATGAATGGGACATTACTTACTAATTTAAAAAATCGTAAGCATGTGAAATTTGAAAAACGGAATAATATATAAGAATATGTAATTTATGTAGTACACAAAAATTATTGGCAATATTACAAGATTATAAGCAAAAGGGTACCTATGCAAAAAGAACCTCACTTACCAATAATATCGGGGACATAAAAATCAGGATAACGCTTCAGTAATTCTTTGAACTTTTTGGTGCATTCTGCCTCTCGAATGTAATCAACTTCCCAAGCCAGTTCTCGTTTGGCCACAGTAACGATATTGTCAATAAACATACCCTTAGGAAAAATATTCCATACCTTCATAATGCCAACCAAATTATCGATATCACTCTCTATGCTCTTTGCCACTCCCGGATATTGAATTTTCATTGCAACTTCGCGTCCATCTAAACTTCTCGCCCAATGCACTTGTCCAATGGAAGCAGCAGCGAAGGGTTTCTCTTCAAATTCGGACAATTTGTGTTGCCAGTTGTCACCTAATTCGGACCTCAAAACTTGCTCGACTTGTCTATTGGGCATAAAATCAGCTGACTGTCTCACCCTTTCCAATGCTTTAGCTAACTGAGGTGATATCACACTTTCATCCTGTATACTCAACATTTGTCCAATTTTTAAAGCAGCACCTGTTTATTTATAACTCATAAATAAATGCACTTGTTTACAATCCTAGGTATTTTTACTATTCTACTAAACTGTTTAGAAAACGTTGTCAACTTCTGATCGTTCATATTTATATTTACAAAAGTCGTGAACGTACTACCCCTCAAGCAATGGGTCTAACAAGATGTTTTATTTTTATAGTAAACGTGTTCTTTGGAATAGGTGAAGCATTTAACGGAAAATGGAGAATAAAATCGGGCAAAAATAACTAGAAATCGCGTGTGGCCAAAATTCGATCAATTATATCACATTATTTTACCTAACACATTAAAAAAAAACGGTATTGTGTGGGACCACCCGTATAGCAGCATTCTATCACTGAACAGTGTTTTAATTTGAAAATTTCTAAAAATATACGACGTCACACTAGGGAAGGAAGGATCATATAAATGTGTCCACCTATGACAAGGAGGAAGTCCAAAAATCATAAAATTCATATGACGTAATTTATAGATGGCCTCTTTACTGAAAAAAAATTAATTCTGCTTTCCGAGTGAACCCCTCCCTTTTCCTTTTAGATGCTTTATCTATCTCTACAATAAATATTTTTTTAATTAGTCGTTCGCAATTTAAACGGATGCTTTTTACTGGATTATGTGTAAAGATAAATCATCCCCGCGTTTCTGTCTGTTCCCTTTTATTTCCATTTATCTATAGAATTTAGTTTTTAAAGCAAATATTGTAATTTACTTTTGAAAAACATTCATACCTGATACTTTTTCTTGTTATAGCAATTCTCCAAAATGTGTTTTTCTTACCTCTAACTTTACAAAGTGTGTCTACTATTCTGTTCATATTTGATTCAGTTAAAAATAATGTTGCCGGATCGTTGTTTTCACTCATTCCCAATGTTCTTTTCGTGAATTCAGCAGCAGTCCCAAGACCTAATCCAGCAGCTAAAGAACCGAAAGATAACATCCTTCCTATTCTTGATGAAGGGACAGTTCTTTGTTTTGCAGATGAGCTAAGCTAAATGATAAAATAATAATTATTATAATTTTACTAATTGTTAAAACACTCCAAGACAGATTAAAAATTTTCAGTATATATATATATATATATATATATGTGTGTGTGTGTGTGTGACAATTTTAATTAATATTTATGAAATTAACATACGGCTTGTTTAGATTTTGGATTTGGCTTGGCTTTGACCTTTGATGATGATCCATTATCTTCAGACCTTTCTTTAGCTGCTTCTTCATGATCTTTCGGCATTTTCCAATTACTCAACTTCTTTTCTTTTAATTTTGCTTGTTCTTGTAACTTTTTCCTATGCTCTCTATCTAACTTTTGAAGAAGTTTTTTATCACTAGGAGTCAAAACAATTTTATATTCTACTGTACTACTAGGAGACGGATCTGAACGTAATTCTTTTCGAAAATGCTCCACTGTTTTTACTTGCAAATCGATATTATCATTTTTGACTTTAAATCTGTTACTACCAGTAAGATGGTCTTGAACTGAAAAGTATAATTTAACATAACATAGCATAACAAATGGTACTATTTAATTAATGTAAAAAATAGTTACAGATTTTTATAAATGCTCATAAAAATTAAGATTTATCTAGTTACATGAAATATTAAATTTAAAATTAAATAATTAGTAGAGCAACATTGTTAACTTAATATTATTGGAATTACATAAGCAAAGTTTCTTTAAAGGTATACTCATTTCTAAAGTAATAAACTGTTTTTTATAGAATTGTTTCTGATACTAGTTATATGCTGTCTGAAATGTCTCAAATGCTCAATCATGAGAAACAAAATTTAAAACGGAAACAATTTTGTCTCGTTAAAAATATAATAAATATATGAAATTATTTTCACAAACTCAATAAATTTCGCACAATGGTAAGGAATGACTCTCACAATTTGTATTTTAAACAATAAGAGCTTCATTTTTTTTTCATTTTTTGATTCAGTATTATACAAAAAGTATTTTATTTTGAAATAGAAATCACATTTGGCACGTGGCTTCTTACCTTTCCCATAAGTTGGTGAATATAAATCAAAATACTGTTTAGCACTTTGAATAACGGTGACAACTCTTTCAGTGCCTTCTTTAGCAACTTTGTTTAAATCAGCTACATTTTGAAGTACATTTTGTGGACCTTGTTTAACAGCATTAGCTAATTCTTCCACTGAATTTTTTACAGTTGAATTTTTCAATATCAATTTTAAATTGTCTTCTTGTAATTTAATTCCAGCTTTTGACACTGCTTGTAAACCACGAATTACGCCAAGAATGTCTTGTGAACGTGACATTCCAGCAAAAGTAATAGCTATACTCTAATATTAAAATTCTAGACAAAACTGTTTCTAGTTATTACACTGCCTTGATTGGTAAATATTGATGAGATTAATAGTGAAACCATATTTATTACATATATAATGTTCCCTTTCAAGCTAAGCAAATCCTTTTGTTAATCTTTTTAATAGTTTTAAAGTAATTATGGTAAATTATTAATTTTTTGAATGTAAACCTGTATTATATTTGTTACATACCCCACAGTATCACGATTTTTATATTAAAGGCTTATTTTATCACCCAAACACACCACTGTTTAGTACAACATTAATTCTTTTATGGTCTGACAAAAACATTCAGTTCTTACAATACTCAATTTTGCGAAATTTTACCTTGTTACTTCTAAATAAGGCTGTTTTCTATTCTGTTTATTCAGAGGTTCTATTTTACTTCAAAGTTAAAGTCAGCTGTTGAGTAATAATACTGTTGTTATCATATGCCCACTGAAGGATTTTTTGGTTTTAAATTTTTATATATAATCAAACGCATAATATGAAACCAAATGAACATGAATCACTTAATCTATTTTATCTATTTGTATATGCGTAAACATGACAAAAATGGTTAATTTTTTTATATTAATATTTGTTAAATTAGTCGTGTAGAGGTATAATTTGGACACATACGCGTTCTTATATGTATAGTCTATGGTTTTTATCAATTGTTATTTTTGACATGTTTTTGACCATAGATAATAGTTTTTGACATTTTAGAACTGTTTTCAGAATATGGTTATGTTTTGTAATATAATCAATGAATATAATTAGTCCCACGTTTGAATTTCTTGGTTATTTATAGCAATATTTTGTGATAATTATTTCCTGTTTCCTTTTTAAGTTGTACTTGCTTAGTATTAAACAATTATGGAAAACGATAGTAGATTTTCCCACATAGCAACAGATCCCAAATTTCGGCGTATACCCAAGTCGGAAAGAAAAGTGAAAATAGACAAACGTTTTCAGTCAATGTTTAAAGACAAACAGTTCAAAGTAAAATATACTACAGATAAACGCGGCAGGCCTGTTAATCATACATCAAACGAAGATTTAAAGAGATATTACGACTTAAGTTCCGAATCAGAATCTGAAGAGAGTACAGATACTGAAAAAAATGATTCAGAAGTTGGGAAGTATGTGCGACCCTCTTCTCAAGAGCGTAAACTTCAACTGAAAAGTGAAGAACTTACAAGTAGTAAACAGTTAAAAGTTAAACATAAATCTGACGAAAACATTCATTCAGATGTAAAACAAAAACTTAAAGATTTAAATGTTGATTATGCAAGAGGTGAATCTAAACTTCTTTCAGAAAGTTCTTCAGAAAGTGAAGAGGAAAGTGAGTGTGATGAATCTGATGGAGTTGAACATGCTTGGGGAGAATTAGACCATGATGCAGAACAAACAAAAGAAGTAACTAACCGATTTGCAGTTTGTAACATGGACTGGGACAGAATTCGTGCTATAGATTTAATGGTTCTCTTTAACTCTTTTTTACCTCCTGGTGGTGTTATTAAATCTGTAACAATTTACCCTTCCGATTTTGGATTAAAGCGTATGAAAGAAGAAGAAGTTAAAGGCCCCATAGAATTAGTGGAAATGAAAAATGAAGTAAAAGTGAATCAAGAGAATGATGAAGCATCAGAAGGATCAAAATATCATATGGAGAAATTAAGACAATACCAATTGAATAGATTAAAATATTATTATGCTGTTGTGGTTTGTGACAGTATCCCTACTGCTAATAAAATTTATAGTGAATGTGATGGTCTAGAATATGAATCAAGTGCTACAAAACTTGACTTAAGATTTATACCTGATACTATGAAATTCGATCAACAGCCAAAAGAAGTTTGTGACAAATTACCTGAACAAGGAAAATACCAACCTCGATTTTTCACAACAACAGCACTGCAGCAAGCAAAAGTTGACTTAACTTGGGATGAAACAGACCCTACAAGAATAGAAGTTACTCAAAAATTAGCAAATGGAGACTCAGATATCCCAGAAGGAGATCTTCAAGCTTATTTAGCATCCAGCAGTGCTAGTGAAGAAAGTGAAATTGAAAATAACCAAGAGGAAAATGAAATTGAACCAGCTCATAAAAATGACCACCCAATTGATAAATACAAGCATTTACTACATGAAATTGAAAAAAAGGAAGAAGAAAAAAAGAAAAAAGATATTGAAATGGAAGTTACATGGGGTATAGATATTGAAGAAAAAACACGTAAATTGGTTAAAGAAAAAATGGCTAAGAAAGATGAAAAAACACCATTTGAGCAATATCTAGAAAAACGTAAAGAGAAGAGAAAGGAAAAGAGAGAAAAGATTAAAAAGTCTACCAATAATTCTGATAATGATTCAGAAGACTCTGTTGATATTGACTTTAATGACCCATATTTTAAAGAAGAATTTCAGAATGCAGAGTTCCAGCCTAAGAATAAAAAGAACAAAATAGTTTCTACTGAAAATGATGATATTAATAATCAGAAGAAAGCTGAACTAGAACTCTTACTGTTGGATGAAGATGATGACAAGAAACATTTTAGTTTAAAGAAAATTCAAGAAGCTGATGAAACTTTAAACAGGAAACGCAAAAATAAATCTAAAAAGAGCGAAAGCGAGAATTTGGAAAAAGAAGACAACTTTCAAATAAATGTCAACGACGAACGTTTTTCGGCGTTGTATTCAAGTCACCATTTTAATTTAGATCCCACTGATCCTCACTTTAAACGTACCAAGGGAATGGAACTACTTGTAGAAGAAAAACTGAAGCGACGAAGTAGTAATATCTCACACATAAACAATGAAAAGAAGAAGCTTAAAACTGATAAAATAGGAACTGAACTGAGCATGTTAGTCAAATCTGTTAAACAGAAAACAAAGCTGTTAACTAAGAGAAAGCAAGATATAATACAATAATTTGTTTTAAATTTTATCTAGTTTTTTTTATCACTCTTAAGTAATTTTTAAAATTTACTTTTATGCAAAATATTTTTCTCACTACAAAAAGGTTTCCTTAAACTTATACTTAAAAAAAACTTTTGAAAGTGCACTTAGAAAGAATATTTCAAACATCAACCCCTAAAGGCAGTGCGTAGCATGAATTTCTGCCACCCGGGACGAACTCTAAATTTGCCGCCTTTCCAATTAAGGTCATTTATTTAAATCGGTCGGGATCATAGTAAAAAGGTATACGCAAACATCTACTTTTGATTTTAAATTGTCAGGAGATAAATAGCGTAAATTAAAAAGGTATNTTTGCCTAATATTTTATTAAGAGCACCAGCTTACGATTAATGTAATCTTAAATTATTTTCAAAGCAATTATTAAGTGTTTTGACTGTATTTTTTGCTTTAATTCTTGTGAACAACTTTCAAAACCACAAAATTTGAGAATGATCAGAAATTCAAAGTACCCACACAATAACAGCATTAATCTGTACAAAATAAAACTGAAATGTTTTGCATCACATATTTCAGTTAAAATTTACTTCGTATTAATATCAACTAAAATATGGATTACTTGCATTTTCTGTATATATTTAGATTTAAATTTAATTTAGATTAAATAAAAAACATTTTCGTTAAACTTATTTATTTCAGACACATACTATATATCTTTTTCTGCAGTTACTGATATGACACTAATTTTAATAGATAATATGATCATTTTTCTTGCTGGTGTATAAATTATTCCCCATTAATCGTAAGTTTATTGACGAACTTTTAAATTTTAACTTCAGGCAGTCTATTCACACTCAAACGCGCTTAAAATAACATAAAAAATGAAATAGAAAAGTATTTCTTAGCATCTACAATAAGTATAATAGTGATTGTAGCGTAATAGTGTGAACAGAGAAATTGTTTTGTTTCCGCGGCGGTTATTATAAGAGCTGTAATAGAAGTCTTCCAATTTAAAATTTAAGGCAACTTTTAACAAAAATAAAAATGAATAACAAGTTAATTTTTCCAACAAAAACCTCATTAATTGAGCCAACAACAATAAAAAGCTCCAAGTGTATAGCCAGAACACTTCACCTCAATTTTTCCATATTTTCATCTCAACCATAACTTAAGCCGTAAGGCATCTACACCGTTTAAATAATACCTAAACAGGCGTTTATCCCTTACGAACCCTAATTGTTCGTATAATTTCAATGCAGGTTTATTAGTTACTTCAGTTTCCAAAACAACTTCATCTGCCTCCCCACTTATCATCTCTTCAATGGCTCTTCTTACTAAAGTTGAACCAATTCTTCTTTTTCTATATTTTTCATCTACAGCCAACATAGCAATGTATCCTCTCTTAATCACTTTTCTATGCATGTCTAGCTTGCATACTATTGCCCCTACACATTTACTTTCACACATTGCCTAAAAAGAAAATAGAATTTCAAAAATCTTCCAGACATACATTTTGCAATACAACTTGATTTTATGAAAGTTTTATGTAGAAAATACTTACTAAAAAGCATAACTTTGGCCAATTATGTATAAAATATCTATACGTATAAATAGAATAAGGTTCTGAGAGATCCTTTTGAATAATTCTCATTATCATTGGCATTTGCAATTCAGATTCATACTGAACATATTCTATCTGAGGTAGTTCTTCGTTTTCTTTTTTCTTTGACTCTGCTTCTAATGTATTTGAATTGGATAATCCTAGTTTACTTGAATTGTCTTGATTAACTTCTAGCATTTCAATTTTTTTCAATACATCTACGTAGTCATCAGAAGCAGACATTTTTCCCATTTTAGACTCACTTTCAGCAGGAAAAGTTAAATATGTCCTAATTCCTAAGGAAGTAGAGGGTAAGCAATCCAATGCTGGTGATAAATATTCCTGACCGTCTTGTAGCTCCACAATTTCTTCATCATTTAAAATAGTTTTTGATACTTCTTCTGTAAGATATTCAATTTCAAAACTGGAACGATCCGATATACTTAAAGCAGTTTTATTTGGGACATCTTTACTAGTTGATTCAATGCTACATGCATTTTGCTCCTCCACTATTGATATTTTTGATCCACTTGTTGCTCTTTCGTCATAATGATCAAAATCAGAATGATTGCACTCACTACTTTGTTGGCTCGTACTCCTAACCGCAGTATTTAAAATGTCATTGCAATTGTTTGCCGTGGTATCACCTTCTTTATCACAAATATTATCTAAGGAATTTATTTTATTTAATATAGTTTCACTATGTGTGACATCAGATGAAACACAATCTTTGTTTGAAGAATATTTTGTCTTATTTTTTCTTTCACTAGCTTTTGGACTTTTGACTAAGCTGTTGCATTTTTCAGTAATAGATCCATTTATTAAACCATTTTTTCCTGTTGCTGGCACCTTTTCAACACAACTAGACTTTGTAGATGTTGAAATACCTTCTTTATGTAAATTCTGTTGAATTCCGTTCTGTTTAAGTTTTGAAGCGCCTTTTGAATGGCCTTTAGCTTTGGTTTTATTCATTTTTAGTTACTTTATAAAAACTTACACTAATTGACTTTAGTGATAGTATCATTATACAATTTCTTTACGTATTTATCTTAAAAATGACAGAACAGACATCTTGCATGATTTCCCAACAGGGACTTTAAGGTTAAATGCATAGGTTAAATGGGTTATAAGTTGATAAGTTGAAGCAATTTAGAGATCACTTATGATTAAATGAATTACTAAACTCTAAAAACGAATATCCATAAAGGTAATTATAAAATTTGTACTTTAAAACTTTAAACAATTACCTATTTATCACTACTATTTTATATCAAAAGAAATAAATTAATAAATAATAACCTCACTTTTTATTTTGACTATGTATTATTATTATTATCTCTAATCTATGATACTAGAAACATTTTACTTTATGCGTTTGGCTAATATTTACACTAAAATATAATTCAAAATTATATTTAAACTTCTGTAAAACTGATGTGAAACTTAATTTCATTTATTTAATAGTGCTCATCAAATAAATTACTCATGAGATTCTTAATAAAACTGTACAGGTCCTAGTACTGAGAGTCAAAATACTGTTAACGCGCAATTTTAAGAATTAAGACTTCTGCCAATTTTTGATCTTGTATGTAGTTTATTTTGGTTATCAGAGAAATAAGGCTCGTTTATTTTTAGATAATATTCGTAGTCACATTAATAAATTATACTATGACTAATTTTAATTCTGCATACATTAGTAGTGTTCTTGCAACAGACATGTCATTTCCTACTAAAGAAGAGCGTTCACAGTGTTGGAGTGCAAGAGATAGGTATTGGTTGTGTTTGGATGAATATAAGATAGATAATCCAGCAAAAGATGGTCCGTGTACAGAATTTAGAAAAATTTACGAAAATTCTTGTTCGGCCCAGTGGGTAAAACATTTCGATCGAAGAAGAAACTATTTGAAGTTTAAGGATAAAATTGAAAAAGAAGGGTATGAGCCTTTGGATCAACGAGCGAATGTTAAATAGAAATAAGTAAACTAAAATAGCGTGAATACTGTAGTTATTTGTAACTAAGAATTAATAAATTAGTACTTCATTTGTCTGTATTTTTTCAGAATTCCCAGCAGTCCCAAAATTGAAAAATCCCAGTGGATTAAACGACGCGTTTACCACGATATTGCGTGTTTATTTTAATACGTGTTAACCAATTTTTTACTTCGTTTTCCCGTTAATGCCCTTATTAATAATGTAATAATCAGTTTTATTGTTGGTTAAAATTATGAAACTATTATTAATTTAATTCATCAAACATTTTTTAAATGTCCAAGAAACTAACTAAATGCTAGCTTAAAGTACTAAAACTTTTGTAATAAGAACTATATTTGTTCCACGTTGTTTAACACTTCAGCTTTTTGCAGTTATATGTACATGTATTGTTGTTGCAATGTATATTGACTCTCAGCTTGTAAATAAATGTAACAATATAAATATATACAAATTTTGCGATGATGTTTTAGAAAATAGTAGAATATTAAAACTGCTTTCTAAGAAATTAACTTTAAAAGCTGAAATAATCTAGAATATAGTAGATCTACTAAAGAATAGTTTTAAATATAAAAATTTGAGAAAAATTCTAATGTTGGTTCCTGTTAACATAACACTGCTGAGTATCAGATTATTCCCTTACATGTATAATATACCTTATCCATATGTAATACAACTTTACACACAAATCTAAAAATAAAACAGTTCTAGAAAATAATCAAAACAGATATTTTTAATGTTTCGAATTTATTTTAATTAATTAGACAATTTAATAGTTTTATACACATTTAAATTAAATAACATCATCACTGTTTTCTGATAAAGGCATCTGGTGATCATCAGACAAATGCTTATTTTTATCTATAGAAATAGAAACTATATGTTTCCCAGGAACCATAACAAGGCCCAACATTCGAGATTCTTCACTATGTTCATCTGAATCACATTCTTCTTCATCTTCAGGCAAATATTCTGAGCAAGATCCTAATATTATATTTGCATCGCGATCTGTACACAGGAAAATTCCTACTAATGATCTACCATCAGTCATCTCTATTCTAAGCAATTTGTTTAACCAGTCGCGAAGTTTAACAACTCCAGCAGATATCTAAAACAACAAGAAAATGAATAATTAGATTTATAAAATTAATATGCAACATTACACTTTTGAGGTTAGANATTTTGCGAATTTATTTCGTTTACTTCATCAGGTTCCTGAATATCCGCTTTACTATCAACAAAGGCATTATTTAATAATTTTAAATTATTTTTGCCTTCATTAACATTTATATTAGCTATGTCCACCTCCGATTCTGTATCATTAAAATCACCTCCATCTTCGTTGGGTTCAGCAGTATCATCCCTTGTAGTCATTGTTTTTGCGATTAGTTTAGGAAACCCTAAAATTGTTATTACCTAATCGTCATTAATGAAAAGAAATATTACAATAATTACAATTATATCCCTATACTATAACGTGCATGGTTCCACCGTTTTATTTTATTAGTTTTTGTTGGTTTTTGATCAAGGTCATGGTCATGTTCATAGATAAGAAATTATAGTGTAGTATAATTTGGACACATACGCGTTCTTATATGTATAGTCTATGGTTTTTATCAATTGTTATTTTTGACATGTTTTTGACCATAGATAATAGTTTTTGACATTTTAGAACTGTTTTCAGAATATGGTTATGTTTTGTAATATAATCAATGAATATAATTAGTCCCACGTTTGAATTTCTTGGTTATTTATAGCAATATTTTGTGATAATTATTTCCTGTTTCCTTTTTAAGTTGTACTTGCTTAGTATTAAACAATTATGGAAAACGATAGTAGATTTTCCCACATAGCAACAGATCCCAAATTTCGGCGTATACCCAAGTCGGAAAGAAAAGTGAAAATAGACAAACGTTTTCAGTCAATGTTTAAAGACAAACAGTTCAAAGTAAAATATACTACAGATAAACGCGGCAGGCCTGTTAATCATACATCAAACGAAGATTTAAAGAGATATTACGACTTAAGTTCCGAATCAGAATCTGAAGAGAGTACAGATACTGAAAAAAATGATTCAGAAGTTGGGAAGTATGTGCGACCCTCTTCTCAAGAGCGTAAACTTCAACTGAAAAGTGAAGAACTTACAAGTAGTAAACAGTTAAAAGTTAAACATAAATCTGACGAAAACATTCATTCAGATGTAAAACAAAAACTTAAAGATTTAAATGTTGATTATGCAAGAGGTGAATCTAAACTTCTTTCAGAAAGTTCTTCAGAAAGTGAAGAGGAAAGTGAGTGTGATGAATCTGATGGAGTTGAACATGCTTGGGGAGAATTAGACCATGATGCAGAACAAACAAAAGAAGTAACTAACCGATTTGCAGTTTGTAACATGGACTGGGACAGAATTCGTGCTATAGATTTAATGGTTCTCTTTAACTCTTTTTTACCTCCTGGTGGTGTTATTAAATCTGTAACAATTTACCCTTCCGATTTTGGATTAAAGCGTATGAAAGAAGAAGAAGTTAAAGGCCCCATAGAATTAGTGGAAATGAAAAATGAAGTAAAAGTGAATCAAGAGAATGATGAAGCATCAGAAGGATCAAAATATCATATGGAGAAATTAAGACAATACCAATTGAATAGATTAAAATATTATTATGCTGTTGTGGTTTGTGACAGTATCCCTACTGCTAATAAAATTTATAGTGAATGTGATGGTCTAGAATATGAATCAAGTGCTACAAAACTTGACTTAAGATTTATACCTGATACTATGAAATTCGATCAACAGCCAAAAGAAGTTTGTGACAAATTACCTGAACAAGGAAAATACCAACCTCGATTTTTCACAACAACAGCACTGCAGCAAGCAAAAGTTGACTTAACTTGGGATGAAACAGACCCTACAAGAATAGAAGTTACTCAAAAATTAGCAAATGGAGACTCAGATATCCCAGAAGGAGATCTTCAAGCTTATTTAGCATCCAGCAGTGCTAGTGAAGAAAGTGAAATTGAAAATAACCAAGAGGAAAATGAAATTGAACCAGCTCATAAAAATGACCACCCAATTGATAAATACAAGCATTTACTACATGAAATTGAAAAAAAGGAAGAAGAAAAAAAGAAAAAAGATATTGAAATGGAAGTTACATGGGGTATAGATATTGAAGAAAAAACACGTAAATTGGTTAAAGAAAAAATGGCTAAGAAAGATGAAAAAACACCATTTGAGCAATATCTAGAAAAACGTAAAGAGAAGAGAAAGGAAAAGAGAGAAAAGATTAAAAAGTCTACCAATAATTCTGATAATGATTCAGAAGACTCTGTTGATATTGACTTTAATGACCCATATTTTAAAGAAGAATTTCAGAATGCAGAGTTCCAGCCTAAGAATAAAAAGAACAAAATAGTTTCTACTGAAAATGATGATATTAATAATCAGAAGAAAGCTGAACTAGAACTCTTACTGTTGGATGAAGATGATGACAAGAAACATTTTAGTTTAAAGAAAATTCAAGAAGCTGATGAAACTTTAAACAGGAAACGCAAAAATAAATCTAAAAAGAGCGAAAGCGAGAATTTGGAAAAAGAAGACAACTTTCAAATAAATGTCAACGACGAACGTTTTTCGGCGTTGTATTCAAGTCACCATTTTAATTTAGATCCCACTGATCCTCACTTTAAACGTACCAAGGGAATGGAACTACTTGTAGAAGAAAAACTGAAGCGACGAAGTAGTAATATCTCACACATAAACAATGAAAAGAAGAAGCTTAAAACTGATAAAATAGGAACTGAACTGAGCATGTTAGTCAAATCTGTTAAACAGAAAACAAAGCTGTTAACTAAGAGAAAGCAAGATATAATACAATAATTTGTTTTAAATTTTATCTAGTTTTTTTTATCACTCTTAAGTAATTTTTAAAATTTACTTTTATGCAAAATATTTTTCTCACTACAAAAAGGTTTCCTTAAACTTATACTTAAAAAAAACTACTTGAAAGTTGTTAGGTATGTTATATTTTTACAAGTTTTTTTTTGATACAGAGGGTCTTAAAAATAACATGTTCCACACTGTTTTACATGCTACCCACACGATTATATTTATATATATTTATTATATATGTACATGAATAAATTAAATCGCCCTTATTCTTTGACTATAAAAACGT